GCGCCTGCCCGCACCATTTTTGAAGCAAAGAGGGAGTTACCAGACACTGAATCTGCTGGCACCTTGATCTTGAACTTCTCAGCCTCCAGGACTGTGAGCAATAAATTTCTGTTGTTTATAAATTACCCAGTCTAAGGTATTTTGTTACAGCAGCCCAAACGGACTGCAGAAGAAACCACTTAACCCACGCCCTGGATATTTTTAATGATTTCACACTTTTAAACTGTTTAATTTTTAGTTCTATATTAATTAGTTATAATCTATGGTGGGCTATTGGTTATGGACACAAACAATTAATTAACAAGCATAATAATAAACCTGTAAATTTGCCTCAACATGATTGTTACCAGATTCTTGCGTTTATCTTATCAAAACTCATACACAACACATCCAGATGTCACTAAGACTGCAAAGTCACTTCTAGAAAAGAGAAAAAATGGTAGATGTAATCATCAATTATATCCCATTTGGTATTTCATGCACCAAGAATAAAACCAGCCCACTCCCAAAGGTGTCATTTGTGAAAACTGCATGGATGCAAACAGCATTCTGAACCTTTTATCTCATCATTTAGAAACAGAACAAAACATTAGAAACAAAAAATAAACCTACTGGGTTTTAAGTATAGACACATATTTCCAATGTCAGGACACACAGATCAAGCTCCTTCTTTGGCTTGCATTGGATCCCGTCTCATGGATGTACCAGGATATATGTAACCATTCGTCCTGTTGCACACTGGAGTGCAACTGCTGGGTCCAAAGGCGTGTATACAGGCAGTCCCCAGATTACAGATGACCTGACTTATGGTGTCCTGTGCTTACAAATGGACTCCCCAGGCTCCCCATAGGATAATTTATAATTAAATAATTAAATGAATAATTCGGGACTAGTTTCTTCCACACGTGTAAATAAACCTGCATGGCATAAGCAATTCATTGGTGCAGCATCTTTATGCTAGTGGCGGGTCTTATTGTTTATATGGTCGCTTATGCACAGCATCACTCTCATCTTAACTTTTTTGATTTGATTTTGTGAGTCTGTGTTTAGCCTTATGTCCATGCCTCCAAAGCAAAAGTCCACTACAAGTCCAGGTGAGCCTGAGGTGAAGAGAAAGGTGATTATAATGGAAACAAAAGTAGAAATAATTAAGCATTCAGAGAAAGGCCAGATTCCATTCATTGGGAAGCATTAGGCTTCAGTCACTGGACTATCGGAATAATTATAAAGGATAAAGTTAGAATAACGGAACATGTGAAAGGCAGTGCTCCAATGAAAGCATCAATTATTACTAACCAGCAAGTGGATTAATTATTGAAACGGAAAGGTTATTAATTTGGTTAGAAGATCAAAAGGAGCATAACATTCCTATTAGCCTAGTGTTGATGAAACATTAGTGAGCGTTAACCTTTAATATTCTTTTTTGAAATTTCTCTTATCACCTATCTAAACTTTGTGTATGAGTTTGTTTTTATGTTCTGTTTGGATTTTTAAAAAGCACAATAGTTTTTGTAACTTATTATTACAGTACAGGGGTATTATTATTACAGTGCAATACAATAAGTATTACACTGTGTTATTATCACATACAAGCCATTATAGTGTTGTTAATATTACCGTATATGTGTTGTTCATCAGGGATCCAAGTTACATACAAATCCAACCTAAAGATATTCTCAGGAACATATCTTATCTGTAACTCAGGGACTGCCTGTATACATCAGGCAGTACTCCTAAGAGATTAAACCAATTTACACTCCCACCAGCAATGAACAACTCTCCCATACCCTCACCAACTGTGAATATAGTCATATGTAGCTTAACTTCTGAGAAATGCATCATCAGGTGATTCTGTCATAATAGAGTGTACTTACACAAACCTAGATGGTACAGCCTACTACACACCTAGGCTATATGGCATAGCCCATTGCTCCTAGGCTACAAACCTGTACAGGGCATTACTATACTGAATACTGTAGGTAGTTGTAACAGTGGTAAGTGACTGTGTATCTAAACATAGAAAGGGTACAGTAAAAATGAGAGTTTTATAATCTCATGGTGCCTTCATTGTTTATGCGTCTGTTGTTTGACCAAAATGTTATGTGGCATGTTACTGTATTATTCAATTTCTTAATTTTTGCCAATCTGATGAGTAAAACATGATCTCATATTTTAATTTTACCTTATATTTCACTGATTATGCATTGTTTTTTTTTTTCTGGATGATATCTTTTTCTTTCTTTTTTGGGGGGTACATGCAAGAAAAGTGAATTTTCTTTTTCTTCTTCTGATAAAAACCATTATTCATTTTTCTTTATTTTATTTTATTTTTTAGAGATGGGGCCTTGCTCTGTCACCGAGGCTGGAGTGCAGTGGTATAATCATAGCTCACTGCAACCTTGAACTCCTGAGCTCAAGCGATCTTCCTGCCTCAGCCTCCTGAGTAGCTGGGACAACAGGTGTACTAACACACCCAGCTAGTTTTCCTTTATAATACAACCTTTCATATTCTAAAAATAGAAGATAAATATTTTTACTCAAAATCCATTACTCCTTTATCACATACTATTCAAAAATGACAAAATTATTTAAAATTTCCTAGGAGTGTTTTGTGAGTCAAAAAAGGATTATTGGCTGGGCGCAGTGGCTCATGCCTGTAATCCTAGCATTTTGGGAGGCAAAGTGGGAGGATCGCTTGAGGTCACAAGTTTGAGACCAGCCTAAGCAAGATCAAGACCCTGTCTCTACTAAAAATAGAAAAAAATTAGCTGGGCAACTAAAAGTTAGGAAAAAAAATTAGTCAGGCCTAGTGGTGAGTGCCTGTAGTCCCAGATACTTGGGAGGCTGAGGCAGGAGGATTGCTTGAGCCCAGGAGTCTGTGGTTGCTGTGAGCTAGGCTGACGCCACAGCACTCTAGCCTGGGCAACAGAGCAAGACTGTCTCAAAAAAAAAAAAGGATTATGAAAGTCTGCACCCAGTATGACTCCTCACCTGAGAGAAATAGCATCTCTGTACCTCACAGCCAGGCAGAGTCCTACTAACACACCCTCCAATGCACACAGCAAGAGTTCGTTTTAATGGTGTCCCCAAGCACTCAAGAATCAGCCAGTCCTAAAGGGAATTCATCACTGTTGCCAACTAGCCCTTGTTCTCCACGGGTACCATGCCTTTCTCCTGGGCATGGTTTTTGGTGAATGTTACCACCCACCTTCAACAGAAGTATTCCTTCAACAGACGGGCCAGGCCTGGGCTGATGACACTAGAGATGCAGAAATACCTGGGACCCAAGCCCTGCCCCAAGGGGAACCCCACAAATCATAACACAGTGTGATGACTGTGGTGATAGAGGATATATAGGGCTCTGGGGGCCCTGGGGCTGGTATCAGAGAAGACTTAGATCAGTGCAGGGGAAGGAAAGTGTTCCTGGAGGAAGTGATGCATGAGTAGCAGCCAAGCTGACTAGAGGGGAAGGTATTCCCAACATCAGGCACATGTGCAAAGGCCTTGAGGGTTTAAGACAATGACATGTGAAGGACTGAGCCCAGTTCATTGTGGTTTCCAAGCAGAGCAGGCTACACTGTTCTGGGGTGTCACTGGCCTTCACTGCTTTCTAAGTCCTGTGACCCATCCCCATCAGAATCTCAACATTCTTATCACCTCTAGGGCCTGCGTGGCTCTCCAACAGCACCCAATTTCTCCTTGTTTCCTGAGGATGGCCAGGGCTACAATGACTTACTGAGGCCAGGGCCTGCTGGCATGCCCCAGGGTGAGGCTGTGCCCAGTGAATCCCTCCTTTTGTTTCTCACACAGCCTGTGCCTGCAGAGCTCTGGACAGGTGCCTTGCTAGAGACAGTTTTATCATAGTTCCCTGAAACCCGTGATTCACTTTGAAGCGTACCACAAGAGATGTCTCTGCTCTTCCAGAGGCGGCCCAAATAGAGTGAACGTGAATCGGTCCTGAATCGGGACACTGGGCTGCTGCCAGCTTAGCCATCCACGACCTTGCAACCAACCTCAGGCAAGCAAGCCCCTTCTCTCCTCTGGGCCAGGACCTTTCCAGATAAAATCAGCTGCCTCCCTTTACTCTCAGGGACCTAAATTTTCGGCGACCATCTGGGCCCCTAAACTTTGCTCCCCACATGGGCGGTTCTGCCTACTGTCCTTCCATCCCCAATCCATTGGGAGTTTTTATGCCGCGGAACCTCTGCACTTGTTCTTCCCGCCACCTAGAGTCGCTTTTCTCTCTCCCTCCTGCCAACTACTCACAAACCCAACTCAAATGCCATCATCTTCGAAAAGCGGGGCCTCTTCCCTTCAGTCTCTTCCTCTTCTGTGCTTTCTTATCTCGCTGTCATACTATGTGTACCTTATGTCTGTGTCCACTCAGAGTCCGGTGTGAGGGGTCTCCGTGTCCTGGCTTAGAGCGCGGCCAGGTCCAGACGCGGCCTGGGTGAGACTCCGCCACTTCTGAATTCGGTCCGGGCGCTGTGGGGTTAAGGAGGGCGGGCCTTGGGGGGGGTGGGGCCTCGCCTCCGGAGCGCTCCACCAGGCATGGGGGAGGCCGTCCCTCTTGTTCCCTGCTTATTACCCCTCACGGCAACAGGAACTGCCACTTAGATAAAAATTTTTGGTGAGACCCCAGGGCCGTAGACCGTGAGAGGGCTTCCCTCGCCGTCTGCGTTCAGTCCTTCCCCCGGGAACGCTCTTAGTACAACCCGGGGATTCCCCGCCGCTGCCCGCCGCTGACGTCACGGAGTCCCCGCGAGGCCCCGCCCCCGCCCGGCTGCGCCTTCGGGCCGTAGGTGAGCGCCGGGAGGGCGAGAGGACGGCAGGGCGGCCATGGCGGGGCCCGCTGCCCCCGCCGCCCGCTGGAAACGCCATATTGTGCGGCAGCTGCGGCAGCGGGACCGCACGCAAAAGGCTCTCTTCCTGGATCTGGTGCCGGCCTGTGAGTGCGCCCCGGGGGACTTGGGAGATGGCCGTTAAGGGGACGGGGCTCTGGGCGCGGGGAGAGGGTTTGTTTGGCTAGTTGGGCTGTGACTCAAGTGTGCCAGCGCCTTCTCGCTTCCGGGGGCCTGTGCCTTGCGCCTTGAATCCGCTACTGGCCAGGATTCCTGCTCCTTCCAATCCAGGCTTTGCTTAGAAAGAACCCTTTTCCGGGCAGAACCAGGTCCTTTTACCCCTCAAGGCCCCGCTCTGCCTCCCACGAGCTGGGCTTCCTAGATACAAATTCGTCCCTGAGTGTTGGTTTTGCAGAGTCTCGTGTGCCTTCCCCTCCCCGACGGTCCCCAGGGTAGGGCCTGATCCCGGTAGTGCAAAGAATGTGGCACTGTCCAGAGCAGACACTTGTTGGCTGGTCCAGGGAAGGAGTGGAACTCTGAGTCTCTAAGGGAGGCTCTGAGTCTCAGGCTCTGCTACCGATAGGTGATCCTGGCGCAGGTTTGTGGTGCTCCTGTGTGCCAGCCTAACCCAGCCTGAGGAGAGTCGGGTCCCCAGGCTGTGGGAGGCTGCTGGCTGAGCCTAGGGAGGTATGGGTCAGGAGGTGTGGTAGTTCAAGACAGGATGAACAGGTGTGCATCTGTGTGTAGCACCTCTGGTCACCTGAGATTGTTGTCTGTGGGGTTCAAAGTCCAACCACAACCACCTTCCAAGCTGCTGGTCCTCTCCTTTCAGGGTTGTGAGGCTAGCCCCCTACCTCCAGGCAGCTGCACTTTTCCACTCCTCTGATGGGCAGTGGAACCATCCAGTTTGAGGGAGGGGTTACCCCCCACCTACCCTCTGGATGCTGCAAGTCTGAGGGACTAGAGAGACCCAGAGGGCTGAAATCAAACAGACTGAAGGTCCAGTCATCTTTGTGGTCTTGGGCAGGTCATCTCCCCAAGCCTCAGGTTTCTTACCTGTAAATTGGGCATAGGAACCTTTTTTAGATTTGCTGGAGGTGGGGGGCAGTGCAGTGCCCCGGGGGCTGAGGTGGGATTTGTGTGAGAACTAGGCCAGTCCCTGGAGCTCAAGGTGATAGGCAGGGCACTGGGTAAGGGAAGGTTGCTGAGGAGCTAGGCCTGCGCTTACCACCCCACCCTACCCTGGAACTGATGGGAAAGAGGAAGTGACACTGAATGGGGGGGGAGGAGGTGTGTTTCAGGGTCAAACCACCAAACTCAAGAAGGTCTGCTGGATAATTGCTCAAGGACTTTCTTTTCTGGTTTGGGGACCTTACACCAACCCTGGGGAAGTTAGGATTATTTTTTAGTCTAGATAATTAGAGCCCTTGGAGGGGAAGTGACTTGCCAGAGGACATAGGTAGGTGGAGCTCAGTTTGTTTCATCACTTTCTGGGGCCAAGCCCTGCTCTGGGGCAGGGATGAATCAATCCCAGTCCCCGTCTTTCTCTTAAGACCCTCAGCAGGCATCTCTGGATGTTCCCAGCAGTAGTCCCCCTTCTGTCCCTGGGAGAGCGGGTCCTTTTCTGGGTGGGCCTGGGGCCCAGTGCTGTGAGGAGGCTGTGCCAGGGGTGAAGGTCCTGTAGAGCTGCACAAACACCCCTCCAGCCCACCAGAAGCTTTCCCATTCCCAGCATCCCAGGGCTCCTGCAGCCCTCCCGCCAGAGGCAACTTGTATGCCAGGTGTCTGCTGGCAAGTGTCTGTCTCCAGGCTCACCTCTGCACCCCCAGATAACCGTCTCCTAGAGAAGGCTGAGCTGCTGGACAAGTTCTCAGAGAAGCTGCAGCCAGAGCCAAATGATGTCACTCCTGCCACCCACCAGGGCCCCTGGTGAGTATATATGTATCCAGGGTCACAATGGGCTGCCTGTGCCTGTGTGCTGCCCCAGTGCCTACGCTGGGTTCTCTCCTGGCACCTCATTGGCCCCTGGCTGCTGCCCAGCGGTGGTGTTGGGGGAGGCGGGCCCTTGAGCCTTCCCCAGGCCTGCTGCTTAGAATCTCTTCTCTCCCTACCCTTCTTAGCCCCTCTCTCTGCACTTGTCCCATCTCCTTCCCCTCCCACCCTGCACTCCTGTCTTTTCCCCTTCTCAGTCTTTTTCCATCCCCCTGTTCCTCACCTGATGCCTACAGAAAGGGTCTTGCTGCCTGTTCCAAAGAGGGAGTGACGGTGAGAACCAGGAATGCGTTAGGGCTCAGAGTTGCACGGTGCTTCTTGAGGAGGGTCCTTGGCTGGGGCATCCAAGGAATGGGGGCTTCCCAGAGCAGAAGAGTCATAGACTGCTCATTTCTGGAGACTTGCTCTTTCCTTTTGGCTTGCTGGCTTCCATCTTCCCCAGGAGGAAGTTAATGGCTCTTGTTTTAGGCCTTTCATGTGGCATCCCTGGGTGCCTCAGGCACTGGGGTGAATGGAGGGCTGATGAGCACCACTCTCTGATTGGTTGGCAGGGAGAAGGACTCAGGGCCTGACTCAGACCAAGTCCCATCACTGGCCACTCTGAGGGTGAAGTGGCAGGAGAAGGAGGAGGGGCTCCGGCTGGTGTGTGGTGAGGTAAGCTGGGCAGGGGTCTGAGAATGGGGTGTGGCCAAGATCCAGAACTTTGGGGCTGGGAAATATGGTATAAGGGAGCCAGCAAATGGCTGCATTTCCCAACTCAACTGCTACAGGCATTGAGTGAGCACCAGTGTGTACCGGGTCCAGACTTGAAGCTGGGCAGGGGTGAGAGTAGCCCTGGCAGCCCGGGATGAAGTGGGCTCCGACAGCAGCTGGATGCAGTGAGGTGTGCAGGGGCAGCCCACTCCCCATCCACATGGCTTAGCTTGCTCTGCTCACTCCTCTACTCCTCATGTCTTGCCCAGCCAACCCCAGGGCCTAGCACCAGTTGTGTTCAATGTACACTTGCAGACTAAACGAATAAGGCATATTTAGTTCCGTACGCAGGATGTGGTCCCTCCACCTGACACTACTGCCTGACGTCACCCCCTGCAAGGCAGCGCTGTCTCTTGGCTTCTCTTTCACCACACTCTCCTGGCTTTCCTCTCACTTCTATGGCTGTTGCTTCTGAACTTCTTTCTCCAGCTCCTTTCCCTCCTCCCTGTTCCCCTCCCTTTAAGTACGGGTGTTCTTGGAGCCTGGATAGCTCACTGATTCCCATGGCATCAGGGACCATCTCTTTGCTGACTCCCAGGGCTCTCTAGCCCAGCCTTCTCTTCTGAGCTCATGACTCTCTTGCTCAGTGGCTTTTTAGATACCACATCTAAAATCAGACTGGCCATCTCCCATGTAATAATATGGCCAACACCATTTTGAGAGTTGACTCCCTGCAGGCAGTGGGCTAAGCATTTTCTCAGCTAATCTTTCACAACTTTCTGGTTGCAGAAGAGGAAACTGAGGCTTAGAGAGGTGGAGCCAGGCTTTGAACCCCCTACCATGCAAACCCACCTTCTGTGATCTCCATTCATTCTTTCAACGTTTATTGACAATTACTATAGCCAAGGAACAAGGAATGCAGTGGTGAGCAAACCTGGCCCCATGGGGCGTCCAGTCCTCTGGAGGAGACTGTGATAGGCCAGTAAATACACAACCAGTCACAGCATGCAAGTCACCTGCCCAAAAAAGGTGTTGAACTCATTTGAGAGCCTCTCCCTAGAGCTGCTGTTGCAGTGGCAACTTGATGTTTGCTTGAGAGGTGATTCTCAAACATCTGACCCTAGCTGCTGGGCTTAGAGCCCCCCAAGACCTGGGATGCCTTTGGTTTGCCACTGCTATATCCTTGGGACCTGTCTCCACAGTCCATACTAATGAGTATGTGTAGACTGAGTGATGATGAGGTGGCCTGTACCTCCCGTGACTGCCCCCCAGTGGTTGTCATGCACACTGGAAACTCAGCGCACTCTGACTCTTCCCAGTCCTCGGTCCAGAGCTGGTCATCAGCTTTTTTTTTTTTTTTTTTTTTTTGAGACAGAGTCTCACTGTGTTGCCTGGGCTAGAGTGCCGTGGCATCATCTTAGCTCACAGCAACCTCAAACTCCTGGGCTCAAGGGATCCTCCTGCCTCAGCCTCCCGAGTAGCTGGGACTACAGGCATGCGCCACCATGCCTGGCTAATTTTTTTTTTCTATATATTTTTAGTTGTTTGATTAATTTCTTTCTATTTTTAGTAGAGACGGGGTCTCGCTCTTGCTCAGGCTGGTTTCGAACTCCTGAGCTCAAACAATCCGCCCGCCTCAGCCTCCCAGAGAGGTAGGATTACAGGCGTGAGCCACCGTGCCCGGCAAGGTCATCAGCTTTTTCACTCTGCCTCCAAATCTATCAGCTTCTCTCTGTGTCCGGTACTGCATCTGACCTGGTCCAAGTTACCCTCATCCCTCCATGGATGACTCCTCCTTTGGCACCTCTCATCCATTCCTCGTTTGGTGTTCAAAATGGTATCTTTTAGTAACAAAAATGATCTCCATTAAAGGCAAGCAGTACACAAAACATGCTTTGTTGTAAACAATTCAAGAGAACCGAAGCCCGTAGAGTAAAAAGTAAAAGTCCCTTTCACCACCTCTCCCCAGTATCAGCGTGGGGCAGATCTTCCAGAGCTCCTCAGCCCGGCTCCCCAGGCTCCCCAGTCGGGTGCTCCAGCCCCCTGTGGCATCTCTTTGAGCTCACAGCTCCCTTTGCCCCCAGGCTTCCGTGCACCTCTCGCACTCAGCACTCCTTCCCTGGGCACGCACCAGTCTGTTCCCATTGGGTGTGCCAGGGGATGGGGAGGGGCTTTTCCTTTAATTCTCCTTAGTACTGTTTCACATAACACAACCATTTATCACTATTATTTTAACTTTTTATTTTGAAATAGAGATTCATAGGAAGTTGCAAAGATAGTACAGAGAGTTCCTGTGTACCCTTCCTTGGTTTCCCCCATTGGCTACATCTTATGTAAATATACTACACACAACCAGGAAACTGATAATGGTATGAAAGTGTGTACATAGTTCTTTATCATTTTATCAGGTGTAGATCTGTGTAACCATCAAATATGGCACTATTTAATCACCACAAAGATCTCCTTCTTGCTACAGAGTCTTGCTCTATTGCCCAGGCTGGGGTGCAGTGGCGGCATCACAGCTCACTGCAGCCTTTAACTCCTGGGTACAAGTGACCCTGCTGCCTCAGCCTCCCGAGTAGCTGGGACTACAGGCGTGAGCCACTGTGCGTGGCCCTTACTCCCCCTTTTTAGTCACACTCAACCCTCTCCCCTCAACCATCCCTAAGCCCTGGCAACCACTAATCTGTTTTCCATCTCTTACTTGAATTTTAAAAAGCATCAAATAAAAAAATATCAAATGGTGTAACACAACATAAATGAAAGCAAGTGACATGTGAGGAAGTAGAGGTGGTGATCAGATTGCTCAGTGCTGAAGAGAATTATAAATGTTATAAATTGGGCCAGTTATGAAAATAGGTGCCCTGCCCTGCCTGTGCAGGGGCCCTCCACAGACCTATTCACACAAGGAGCGTGTCGGTGCAGGTGGCCAGCACCAGCCTTGCTCCCCAGTCCGTCCTCACCAGGCCCCCTTGAGAACACAGGACCAGGTTAACAACAAGAGCCCCCAGGCTTGGCTTGGGCCAGAGGCACTCAGAGCCTGTGGCCCTCATGTTCCTCTTGCCACAATGGTGAGAAGTCGCTTGCCTGGGGTCTGCCTTTCTCACTGACCCCCTCAGCACCGGAAGGTGAGAGTTGGCCTTTGCCAGCTCTTGGCTGTTAGCTGAAGGAATGTTGAGTGAGACAGGGGTATACATGAAATGACCCTCACCCCACGCCCAGGATGGTGGGGCAGCTCCAGCATTGAGTCTGGGCCCTGTGCTCCCACAGTCCCTTCTTGTTCTTAGCCTTGTGTGCCTCTGCTCGGGACTCATCCTTGCTCTCTGAGATCTGTACTTGTGCAGGCCAGGGGTTGGGGCTGGCACAGGAAGCCAGCTGTTGGAGACAAGGGGAACAGGACTCACATCCCTTGAACCCCTCCTGTAGACCAGTGCTTTACCTCTGTGGTCTCAACTCCTGGCCCGAGGCTACCGGTCCAGTCCATGGCCTTTTAGGAACCGGCCTGCGGCACATCAGCACCTGAGCTCCACCCCCATACCCCCCTCCAAACCACCCCCGCATGGAAAAATTGTCTTCCATGAAACCGGTTCCTGGTGCCAAAAAGGTTGGGGACCTATGCTACCTGGAGGATAATGTACTTATTTGGCCTGGGCTCAAATATCAGCGCTGCCGTTTAGCTCTGTGACTTTGGGCAAGACACTTACTTAACCTCTCTGTGTCAATGTCCTCATCTGTCAAAGGAGAATGGCAGTACCTACTTTATGGTGTTATGAGGATTAAAAGAATGTGTGTAGAGTGCAGTGCTCAGAACAAGGCATGGCAAAGTGCTATAAATTGTTTGCCAGTATTTGAAATGTTACTCCTCATACTCTGCGCAACCCTATAAGGTAAGCACTATTGTTCCCATTTTACAGGTGAGGAAATGGAGCAGATTCCTCTTGCCAGAGAGGTTCAATGACTACCCCAGAGTCACAGAAACTAAGTGGCACAGCTAGGATGGAAACCCAGGTGTCAGACTCCTGAGCCTCAGCTTTCTTTTCAGTAGAGAGGTGGGCGGGTGAAGTAGCAGACTGTCCCACCAGCCCCGTCTGCCCGAGGGGGGCTGCAGGCTGGGTGTGAGCGTGCACAGAAGTGCCCATGCCCACCTGTCCGGCCGTCCGCCGCCCCCAGATGGCCTACCAGGTGGTGGAGAAGAGCGCAGCCCTGGGCGCCCTGGAGTTGAAGCTGCAGGAGCGGCAAAGCAGGTGAGGCACCGGTAGGTCGGAAAGGGACCGCGCCCACCAGTGGGAGGCTCGGGACCAACTCTGCCAGAGGCTGGGGATGGCGTGGGCCCGAGAGCTAGCCCCCGTTGCCAAACGCCCCCAGGCCTGTGGTCGGCATCAGAGGACCCGAACGGCAGGCCTCTGAGGGCGAAGGCTTGGTTGGAGAGCTGGCTTAGCCGGCGGGCTGGCCCCGGCCAGGGGCAAGTCTGTCTCGGCTCTGAGGCGGGTTCCCCTGAGCAGTGACGGAGGCGGCTCAGGACCCACCTACCGCTCTCCCTGTCCTCCAGGCTGGCGGCGCTGGAGGCCCGCTTGGCGCAGCTGCGAGAGGCGCGGGCGCAGCAGGCCGGGCAGGTGGCGGAGCTTCAGGCGCGGAACGCGAAGCAGCGGGCGGCCTACGAGGCGCTGCGCGCGAACACCGGGCTCCAGGAGGCGACCCTGCGCGGGCTCCAGGAGCAGGCGCGCGACCTCCTAGAGCGGCTTGTGCAGCGCAAGGCGCGCGCCGCCGCCGAGCGCAACCTGCGTAACGAGCGCCGGGAGCGGTAGGGAGCTGAGCCCCGCCCCTTCTGAGGGTAGGCCCCGCCCCCTGAGGAGCAGGGCGGGGTCCGGTCCCGGCCCGAAGGCCCGGCGTCCGGAGCCCCACTGCCCGGCGAGAGGCGCTCCTGGCTCTCAGGATCCTTTTCTACCCCGCAGGGCCAAGCAGGCGCAAGTGTCCCAGGAGCTGAAGAAGGCTGCCAGGCGGACCGTGAGCATCAGCGAGTAAGAGCGGGACGGGTGGGCTCCGCCCCCTGTGTTGCAGAGCCGCCCTGCTGTGCTCTGCCTCCCGCCCCCTCCTGCTTGCCGCCACTTGACTGCACGTGTGCACAGCTGCGGTCCCCAGATCCCCAAGTAGACCGGGTTCACGGGATTCGTGCAGACATAGGAGCCTGCACGCGTGCATGTCACGTGCGCCCACAGAACCCCTCATCACCGGGAATTTACATCTTCACCCTGCCCGCCCGCGCTGGGGCAGGGAGGGGCCGGCCTGGATCCTCGGCCTCTCTGAGCTTCATTCCCTCTCCCAGGAGCCCAAGCACCCTAGGCAGCCGGATCAGGGAGGGGGCTGAGGCCCTGGCCCTGGCCCTGGCCCCTGAGCCGGAGTCTCTGGAGAGAGAGACTTGTGAGAAGTGGAAGAGGCCCTTCAGGTGAGGACCCAGGTGGCTGTCCCACAGTTCTGAGCTGAGCCCCATCCCAGAGGCTGCCAGAATCTTCCTTGAAGACCTTGGGGCTTGTTCTTGGGTTGGAAGGTGGCTTGGGGAGAGGCTGAGGTATAGCTCAGACCTTCCAGGACAGGTCTGACCTCCTTTTCCTGGAGCCACTTGGGATCAGTGCCATCTCAGGGACCCCAGTCCCTGCCCTCAACCCATCCCCTTCTCAGCAGAGGGGGTGGGATGTCAGACTTCTGAATGTCACCAGGGAGAACCTGTGGGCAAGGCCCAGGGCTTAGCTGTCCCAGGCATGTGTGTGCAGCACAGGTGTGCAAGCATGTACGTACGCAGGGACATAAGGCACATGTGTGTACAAGCTTGAGTGTGCATACCGGAGCGCCTGTGGACTTGTGAGCATGTGTAGATATGTGCTCACACTGATGGGACCTGATTGGGGCTTCAATCCTTGGGTACCTTCTGCTCGGTCTCTCCCATCTGTTTTGATTTGCCTGTCATTGAGGCTGCCCCCTCTGACCCATTCCCCAGCCTAAAGGCTCTTCTCAGCCTTTCCTTGTAGGTCCCCAGTGTTTAGATCTCAGGGCAGTGAGAGGACCTTGGGGAGAGGCATGAGATGCTGGTCCCAAAGTCATTAGCAGCCCGAGTTATCCCAGAACACACTCTTTGCTGGGCATTTCTGAGGTCACTAAGCAAGCCCAGGCTCCCCCGGCCAGCCTGGTACTGTCCCAGCCTGGGGGCACCTTTGCCTTCTCCCCTCCCCATAGGCCCCAGTCTCCTAGGAGCTTTTGTTGGTGGGCACTTAGGGGGTAAGGCAGAAGTCCAGTTCTTGGCCCATGCTCGAGAGGTTATGAGCTTCCAGGTCTCCAGCAAAGTGTAGGGATGAATGATGGCTGTTTGCACACACACAGGCCAGTCCCTTAGCATATCTCTCGGTTCTGTCCCAGGTCTGCCTCAGCCACCTCCCTGACGCTATCCCGCTGTGTGGATGTGGTAAAGGGGCTTCTGGAGTAAGTGTGTGTTCCTGTGTGTGTGCCCCCATGTGTGTGAAGGGGTTGTGCCCCCTGGCACCCCGTGTCAGGCTCCCTTAGCCCAGGCTTGGTCTGTGTATGTGCCTTGGCCTGTCCATCCGTATAGCGCCCAGCTGTCTGTGAGTCTCTGTTGGGCCTGGGGGGTAGGAGCCGGGTGTGTGTGGCCTCATCCCCAGTCCCTGCTCAGCTGTCTTCCAGGCTCTGTCCTTACAAGGCTCTGTCCTCACTCAGAGGCGTCACAAGAACCAAGAGATCCAGCCTGAGGCCAGACAGAAACTCCCACTCAGTTGGGAAACTGAGGCTCAGAAATGTCAGGGACTTGATCAGAGTTATAGAGCCAAGTGGTGGCAAGCCTAGGACTGAAACCTCAGGCCTGAGTTTCTCTATACCCACCGCCCTGCCCTGCTCCTGTGTCTGTCTCTGTGTTCCCTGCCCCATCTCCACACTGACCCCTGGGGTCAGAGGCTGGGTTGGGGAATGCACTCACTGTACCGTGGGGCCACGTTCTGCCTCCTGCCATGTCTGCTTTCCACTGTTGCTGCCTCAGGGCAGCTGGAGGCTCCCCTGTCAGAGGCTCTACTGAATGCCCTCCTGCCCCTCTGCCCCAGTTTCAAGAAGAGGAGAGGTCACTCAATTGGGGGAGCCTCTGAACAGCGATACCAGAGCATCCCTGTGTGCGTTGTCTCTCGACTTCCTACCCGGGCTCAGGACGTGCTGGTGAGGAAGGAGCTGGGGCCGTGGGGCAGTGGGAAGGGAGGACAGGCGCCAGGGGTGGTCCCAGGAGGCCAGGGATGTGAGGCTGGGCTCCTCGGCAGGGACAGGAGGCTGCCTTCCACGGCTTGTGGTGGGAGCCACTCCAGCATGTTATAACGGGGGTGGGGAGGCAGAGACGGGAGGCCAGGCAGGGGAGTAGCATAGCGGGGAGGCTGCTGCAGGGGTCCGGGCAGAGGCGATGAGGCCTGGTGGGGTCAGGTTTGCAACTCAAGGTTTTGGACGGAGAGACCTGGGCCGGGGATAACAAGTCAGCAGAGGGCTGTGAGGTGTTCACGGCACGCGTGAGAGACAGCCTGTGCGTGTGCACAGAGAGGCCTGTGGGGGGGGCCTGGGGCACCAACCTCCCCTTTCCCCACAGGATGCCCACCTCTCTGAGGTCAGTGCTGTTTGTTTTGGCCCCAGCAGCAGCCTCCTGGCCACTGGAGGGGCTGACTGCCTTATCCACCTCTGGAACATTGGGGGAGGTAAGGACCCCTTCCCTGCAGGCCAACCCAGTGCTTTCTCTCTAGACCCCATCCTCAGCAATGCCTTGGTGGGCAAAGGTCTTGGACCTCTGTGTTGCCCCACCTGGAACATTCTGTGGGCAGTGGCTGGATAAACCCTTGGCAAGAGTGAGACTCTGAGCTCACTGCCCCGAAGAAGGGTGAACCCTGCCAGCTCCTGGGGTCCAGACCTGCAGGATGGGGAGGGCTGAGCTCTGATGGTCCCTGGTGGGGAGAGTCCCCTATTGTGAGGTCCCCCAGGGACAGGCCCTTGAGGAGCAAGTCCCAAGTCCAGCAGGCCATCTCCTCTTCTAGCGTCACTCGAGCTAGGAGACTCAGGTCTCAGTTGAGTTTCTGCCTTGTCTCAGCTCTGTGTTCTGGGTGGGGGTGTGGGTGGGGCCCTGGAGGCTTCCTTGAAAAGGCAAGTCTCCAGCTAGCCTGGTGCTGGCTTGCTGTGTGACCTAGGGACAGTCTCTTCTCTACTCTCTGGTCCTCTCCAGCCTGTGAAATGACTGGCTGCTCCCTGGGACCCACTGGCAGCAGTTAAGGGAGGTGCAGCCTCCAGCCCAGGCCCTCAGAACAGACCCAGTGATTCCGTCCTCTAACCTGGAGAAGACTGATCTTCCTGCTGTCAGTCCCGATTCCTCTATTTCATGAAGTTCCTGACCTCATTTCAACTGTCCTTTCCCCTGGTCCCTCCAGGTCGCCTAGAAGCCAACCAGACCCTCGAGGGAGCTGGTGGCAGCATCACCAGTGTGGACTTCGACCCCTCGGTGAGGGAACTTGGCCCCAGTGGCCTCGGGCTCTCATACAATCCTCCTCCCTGGGCCTGAGGCTCCTCTGCCTGCCGTGGCTACCTGGGCCATGGGAAGCTGTGGGGCAGCCCCTACGCCGGCTCTCTGGCCTCTGCCAGGCCCAGGCTTAGGCTCAGGACTTCTCCTTCCACTCCCCTCTCCAGGGTTCCCAGGTTTTAGCGGCTACTTACAACCGGGCCGCCCAGCTCTGGAAGGTGGGGGAGGCACAGTCCAAGGTGAGGCCTGACTGGGGAGGCAGCCTGGGGGTCAGGGGTCATACCTCAGGACTGGGGGGCTTTGATGGGGTCATGGCCATGCCCTTGATCCATACCTGGGATGGGGGTGGGGCAGGAGACACTGTCTGGACACAAGGACAAGGTGACAGCTGCCAAATTCAAGCTAACGAGGCACCAGGCAGTGACTGGGAGCCGAGACCGGACCGTGAAGGAGTGGGACCTCGGCCGCGCCTACTGTGAGGCTCCGCCCCCACCTCCCCTCCCCACCAGCCTGGAACCCGCTGCCGGGGCAGGAGGGACCTCGCCCTGCTCTCTGGGGGTGGGTCTGCATTCATAGGCCCTCCTCCAGCCCCTCCGTTGGTGTTTTCTGCCTAGTTTCTTGGTGACCTCTGGGTAGGTGAAGGGGTGGAGTGAGCCCTGGGCTGGGAAGCAGGAGACCTGGGTTCTAGTCTTGATTCTAGACCCTTCTGGGCCTCAGCTTCTCCATACGTCCCATGGGCTGGCTCCCAACAGCTGTCCTCTGAGGCCCTGGATCTGCTCCTTGGTCCCCAGGCTCCAGGACCATCAACGTCCTTTCCTACTGTAATGATGTGGTGTGTGGGGACCATATCATCATTAGTGGCCACAATGACCAGAAGATCCGGTTCTGGGACAGCAGGTGACAGGCACTGGCTGTGGGTAGGGTGGTGGAGGCCTGGGGCAGGGCTTTGGAGCTCTCGTTCCTTCCTCTGGCCTAGGCAGCAGGAGTTGCAGTGGCATCTTGGGGAAGTGAGGCTGTGGGGCTGGCACCGCCAGCTGATGGCCTCTGTGCTGGGCATGGCCCTTGAGGGCCCAGCTCCCTCAGGAAACTGTGCCACTATCCTAGTGGCCGTTAGTCCAGTGCTGGACTCTGCTTGGACCTTGCAGCCAAGATAGAGAAGCACCTTTTCCCATTTAGTTACCACTGTTTCATCAAAGGAAAAAAATTCCTTTGTTGCTTTTTAAACCTAAGAGCCCAACTCTGGGCTTGAACAGTTTGTAAAAGCAAGGCTAGAGCCAAGGCCGGGCCTGCCTCAGGCTTCTACTGGTCTGCAGTGATTGCGTTTGCAGTCTCCCTCTCTCTTTCACATTTGTATTATTTATTTAGTTAGTTAGTTAGTTAGTCATCCCTAAATGTTCTCCAGGATCTCTTTTACATTTTTTTTTTTTTTTTGAGACAGTCTTGCTCTGTCACCTGGGTTAGAGTGCCATGGCGTCAGCCTCGCTCACAGCAACCTCAAACTCCTGGGCTCAAGCAATCTTCCTGCCTCAGCCTCCCAAGAGCTGGGACTACAGTCTGGTGCCACCACGCCTGGCTAATTTTTCTATTTTTAGTACAGACAGGGTCTTGCTCTTGCTTAGGCTGGTCTCAAACTCCTGAGCTCAAGTGATCCTCCCGCCTCGGCCTCCCAGAGAGCTAGGATTACAAGTGTGAGCCACTGCGCCCAGACTCTTTCATGTTTTTGAAGACAGACTTTTTATTGCTTTCCTTCTAGTGCTTATTTTAGTGACCCAAGGGTTTTAGGGGCTCCCCAGCTCTCAAATCAGAGTCTGCCCAAGTTCCTCGATGAGGAAAAGGGAGGTCGGTCACCATCAGCCTGGCTCCAGCGATCCGAGGCCCTGGGCTGCCGCTGGACTTTGTTAGCTGGGAAAGCTGCTGTGCACAGCCCCTTCCTGTCAGGAGTGGCCAGGGCGGGCTCTTCCTCATCCCTGTCGCTGTCCCTGCTCCTCAGGGGGCCCCACTGCACCCAGGTCATCCCTGTGCAGGGCCGTGTCACCTCCCTGAGCCTCAGCCATGACCAGCTACATCTACTCAGCTGTTCCAGAGATGACACACTGAAGGTCATCGACCTGCGTGTCAGCAATATCCGCCAGGTATTCAGGTACCAGCCTCGTGCCCGCTGACTCTGTGGCCTTTGCTGGGGCAGCTGAGCCTCTCCCGTAAAAGGCCCTTTTGGTGCCCTCCCTGGAGGCCCCTCCAGACCAGGTCCTGCTGAGGTACCCGACCCCTCAACAAAGAGAGGACATCTTGCAGCTCCTTGCTGAGGGAGGGACTGGTGGCTGCCTCCATTCTGACCCTGACCTTGTCTGTCCTCAGGGCTGATGGCTTCAAGTGCGGTTCTGACTGGACCAAAGCTGTGTTCAGGTGTGTCCGTGAGAGCATACACCTGTGCCTGAGTGTGCCCCGTCTGCCCCTGTGTGTGTCCTCCCTCTGATGCCCTGTTCTCTCGCTCTGCTGTGGCCACTGCAGCCCGGACAGAAGCTATGCCCTGGCAGGTTCCTGGGACGGAGCCCTTTACATCTGGAACGTAGACACTGGGAAACTGGAGAGCAGCCTTCGGGGACCCCACTGGTGAGCACGACCACCACCCGCTCACCTGCCCACCCAGCTCCAGGGCCAGTGCCGACCGGCCTCAGTCCCGCTGAGCCCATTCCAGGTTCTGACATACTTGGGTTACTGGAATCCCGAGCCCTTGTCCCTGCACCCACCAGAGCCCATCACAGTTCTCGAGGCCCCTTTCCACACGCGCTTGGGTCTGTGCTCACCGCAGCCCTGCGGGCTCATTTCACAGACGAGGAAACGGGCTCAGCGAGGGGCCGCAAACGGCCCAGGTCCAACAGGGAAGGGCAGAGCCAGGCTGCAGGCCCAGCTCCCAGTGCGCCCTGAAGCCTGTCCCCTCTCCTCAGTGCCGCCATCAACGCTGTGGCCTGGTGCTATTCCGGGAGCCACGTGGTGAGCGTGGACCAGGGCAGGAAGGTTGTGCTTTGGCACTAGGGCCACGGCTCCCCTGCCTGGGCTGGAGCTCCGGTCCGAAGCCTGAAGAACAGCTTCCCTTGAAGAACGGCGCCCCTTGGCTCCACAGGGCTCCAGAGCGGCGGGGCGGGGCTGGGAGTGAGGGTGGCCTTGGCATTTAATGGGGAAGAAGGCCTGGCAGGACCTGGCCTGTTGGTTTAAAAACAAAGTATAGGTTGGGTGGAATATAGTACTTTTCGTTTGTTTTTTTTCTCTGTCTTTTCACTTTCTCTCCCCAAAGTAGAAAAAATTGTATCTAAACTATGTCTGCTTGCCTCTCTGCAGCACTCTGGGTACAGGGAGACCTTTGGGCTGGTGGGCTTGGCAGATCCTGGCTTGGCCCCCTTCCTCCTCCCGCAGAGCTGGGCAGCGCTGGCCGCCTCTGCCTGGGGAGACGGGCGCTGCTCAAGGCTCACCGTGGAAACAGCAGGAAGATGGGCCCAGAGACAGCAAGGAGCTGTAGGGTGTGAACCTGGCTCCAACCTGGTCCTGAGGCCAAACCAACACCTCAGGCCCTCCTACTTCAGGCACCCAGGGTGGACTGAGGCTGAGGAGGGGCTGTGGGAGCTCTGAGGAGGGAGCCGGCGAGGCAGCCTAGAGGGGTCCTGGTGGAAAGGGTCCTAGAGAATGCTGTCCTAGTCCTGGGTACACCAGGCCTGCCTTTGAGTGGGGCCGCGTCCTTCCTCCGGAGCCAGAGCCCGGGGTGAGGCAGAGCAGGGCCTGTGTGTCTGTGCCTGGGGGAGGGCAGGGCGGGCCGGGCCTGGGCGGAGGCCTCACTTACACGGGCACCCGATTTAGTCTGCACGGCAAGCCTCTGAGTGCAGCGCAGAGCCAACAGGGCCGGCCCGGACACCCCACATCCCTCACCAGCTTAGGGCTGGGCACAGGCCTGTGGAGGCAGACAAGTGTGGTTAAACGTAAACATCTCCACTCTGCTGACTCCCAGGTCACTGTGTCCTGGGCTCCAGATGACATGCAGCTGCCTCCTGCATGTGACCTCTCCCCCTCATACCCTACACATCCGTGGGTGCCAGAGCCTGGTGCTGCCCCTGCAGCCACCTTCTAGACTTGCTGCCCCCACCCAGTCCCCTCCTTGCATGGCCACAGTGACTTTCCTGGACGTCCAACCCTTAGAAGTTCCCTTGCTGCCTTCAGAGAACCCCCCCAGCACGAAATGCGACCCTGCTGGCTTCTCAGCTGCATCGTCATTTCCTTGTTATTCTGAATGTCTTACCCATGCTTTTCTGCCCAAAGCGTTCTCCTTTCCCCCCAGCACCCAATCCAAACTTTTCTTTCGGGATCCCTCCCCCCCACATATACACTGCAAGCCCTTCCCTCATCTGCTGGGCTGGGTGGAGGCCCCCTCAGTCCCTGCACACCCCTGCTTGTACTTGCCTCCCTCCATTTTAATCAGGGGGCTCTGGAAGAGCCACATGGGAACAGTGTTCCCTGGGATCAGGCCTTGCACAGAGAAAGCCTCAGGAAATGTTTATTAAGTGGTTAAATTCTCCTATTCAAGATTCTAGGGTTCAACCATTCAAATCTAAGACTTCTCACCCCTGCCCCAGCCCTCAGGCCCTGGCTCCCAGTGGCCACCAGGGGTCACCCGCCGTCCAGTCTGTGCCGAGGCACTCGTGCCGCCAGGGATGCTCCTGTAACTGCTGTTACAGAGCGCTTAGGTGTGTCGGCCCTGCCCTGTGCCCTTTAGGCAGCATCTTATTTGTCCTCCCAGCCAATCTGCGGTGGACATAGGATCTGTTTTCCACATGAGAAAATGGAACCTCAGGCTTAGCGATTTAAAATCACACAGCTAGTGACACAGTTGGATTGTGACTGCATCACACACTTTTTAAAACAACATGTCAGAGAATTCAGGCTCCCAGTTGGGCAGAGCTCCCCCAGGCAGACACCCCCTGCCTGGTGTGATCCTGGCTTTGTGTCTAACCTCACTCCTTCCCCACACCTCTCTGTTCCGGGCTGAGCCTGGAGGGTTAGTGCCCCTCGAAGTGGGAGAAACTCGACTCCTGGAGTTACCAGCTGCACTGCTGGGGGCAAGTACCTCACAGGACTGCAGTGAAGACTGCCTGGATAACCCAGACAGGTGCTCAGGAAGTGATTTGATTCCATCCCTGGGGCAGTGACCCCTGCATTCCCCTGAAGCCTTCCCTTTTACTTCATGGGGGCAGATCTTACCACATATGCTTGTCGCTGCGGGGGTGGAGCTGCTGCACCTCAGGGAGCACACGTTCACCTTCACTTGCTAGGAGGAGCAAATCTGGAAGGCCAGAGACAGGCCAAGGCATTCCAGGGACTGAGGTTGGCAGGAGGAAGGGGCGCTAGCACAGCCCGAGCAGAGGCCCGAGGGAGGCCAGCTGGGAAGGCCAGACCTCTCTTCCAGCAGAGGGGCGGGAATAGACCTCTAGTGCTAGCAGCCACTCCAGGCTTTCTGTCTTTAGTGCTCCGGTTTTCAGTACTCAGGCGCTCAGGGGCTGCCTGCCTGAATTTGAGTCCCCGGGTCAAAACTGGAAGGGCCTTTGCTCTTGCTATGCACAGCAACCAAGGCCCAGAGAGGGGGCAGGGGCTCGCCCAAGGTCACACGGCAGAGCTGGAATCAGAACACTCATTCCCTCTTTTCTAAAAACTGGATTCAAGTTCTGGAGAGGGGCTGGCCTGGTCTTCTGGAGGCCCTGGTCTAGATTTGCTCCAGTTCTGTCTTCCTGAGAGATCGTGGGCAAGTCACAATGACTCTTAGGCTCTTATGTGCCCATCTGTGAGACTGTTCCTGTCCCAAGGCTCTGGGCCTCCCCGAAGGTGACACAGCTCTTTCTCAGAGCTGTTCTGTAGACCTGAGTACTGCCACCGCTGCGTGTCCTGCAGTCTCAGGCCTTAGTGAGTCTGAACGCTTAGGGAAGGAGAAGTGACAGAAGCCCCTGTTCTGGGTCCCTACTGCCCCTTGGTCATCTCCTGCTGTTCCCGAGCCTCCCCAGCCAGATGTGAGCCCCTGAGCAGGGTCCCAGTGACCAGAACATGGCGTAGGGTAGTATGTTTGCTGAAGGACAAAGAGCAAATGAACAGAGGTGGTCTCTGGAGAAATTCTGACACCACCAGACCCCATCGGTGAGATTCAGACATACCTTGTGTGGGCACAGGCTGTTTTCATGCTCTGGATGTACATCCGCTTGTCAAAAATATTTTCAGCTTATCTGCACATTATCTTACTTGATCTCCCCTGAATCTGAGGAAGTTTGTATTATTTTCTCCTTCCCACTTGACGGATGAGAAAGCAAGGCCCAGAAAGGTGAAGGGATGGGCCTAAAGTCACAGCTAATCTGAGGTGGCCGAGGGACCTGAATAAAAGTTTTGACTCTGCTCCCTCCCTGTCCCTCACCAGAGCAAGTGGAAGAGAGGGCGCAGAGTGTGTTCAGTACAGTGTGGAAGGGCTGTGAACCTATTCATGGATTCATTTCTGTCATGTCTCAGGATAAAACATTCTAGGAAAATATTCCCAGACCAGACCTCTCAGAAACAGACATGGCAAAAGTATATTTTTTTGGCCACTGGGACAGAGAGAAAAATAGTCCGGGAACAAGATGCTCTTTGACATTCCTTTGGTTCTTGGCAGATCAAGCAGTAACAAAGCAAACACAGGAGGAGTCAAGGAGGAAACTTAGCTGGTTGTGTCAAGTTGTAGGATTTCAGGACAGATTACAATTCTCTCTCTCCCTTCCAACCTAAAATTTCTGTCATTTGGTTGTATTTCTGTCATGAAAAACAACTTCATAATGAATAAATGCAAAGATTCGAGCAGCCAGATTTTGTCTGAAGGTCCCTAGGAGAGGGCTAGGCAGTCACTGGCCCCAAAACTGGAAGCTGCCGTTGGGCTCCTCAGGCAGTCAGTGAATAGCGCGGCCTGCGATGCAATTCCAACGGAGAAGATGAGGGTTTGTTTTGTTCCAGTGGCCCGGGGGAAGAGTCCAGTGGCTTGAGTTGTCACTTTCTTGCCATCTGAAGAAGTACATGTATTAGTTAAGTCTGTTCTCAAATATTGTAACCTCTCACTCGGCAACTAGAAACGGAACTGATCCAGAACATAAGAGCGGGGTAAGCACATTCCATCCTTTTTAAGTTGGGGATGTGGCAGCTCAGAGGCAGAGCTCATCCCTCAAGCAGTGGCAGGCCTAAGGCCGGATGATGTGCTCCCGCCTGCTTGTGGGCCAGGGTGCTGGGGTCAGAGGAAGGGATGTGGGCTGTGAATCTATGGCCTGACGGCATTGAGTCAGTTCCTGTGATGAAGGAGGCTGAAGTTTAGCTATGACGCTGGGGTGAGGCATTTGGTCACAGCCGGCCTCCAGTGCCAAGAGCAGACTCAAATGTGAGCAGCTTTCCCTGGCAGGGAAGGCAGAAGTTGGAAATGATATCTTTGCATTTATTCTTTTCATTATGAAGCTGTTTTTCATGACAGAAATACAACCCACATACAACCAAATTGGAATGGTATTTCATGTCCCACATGTATGTGAAGCACTTCACACATACTCCTTCCCGTGGGCCGCATGATAACCCTGTGTTACTGTGTGCCTGTGACACTGTCGGGGACCCGGCTGTGAAGGTGAGCACACCAGGAAGCGGGGGGACAGGGCACGTGAGGAGTGTTTGTGGTGGCCGTCCTGGGCCACACTCTGTATGTGTGGATCCACAGCATTATTCTCAGCTTCCCGACGAGGACACTGAGGCCCAGTCCCCAGGGCTATCAAGTGGTGGAGCCAGATTTTAACTCAGACCTTCTGACTCCCAAGTTCATGATGTTTCATATGCTGTTGGTGGGAGTGGAAACGGATATAATCCTTTTGAATGCCAACTTGACAAAATCTAATAAAATTAAATACACATACCTTTTTGATTCTCCTTTGGAATTTACCCAATATTTATATGAGAACACATTTATGTAACAAGGCAGTGTGTACACTTATGAGTTTTATGCAGAAAAAAAAGTGTCCTGGAAGAATACACAACTGCATGTCCCCAGTGCTAGGAACGGAGAGCTTGTGGGGCCCCTCCCCTAACAGGCCAAGCCCTGGTCCTCAGGGTGGCTGGCTGGAAGCCAGAGGGACTCAGCCTTTACCCAGGAGTCCTCTATCTACCAGTAAAATCTCCTTTCACACAATTTATTACTCCTCACAGTGGAGGTTCAGGAAAGGAGAGAGGGAAAATAAAGACTGTAACTTATTTATTTCCACCTCTGG